ATGTAGCTGTAGATTCAGTGTCTGTGGTAGAAGGTGAGTTCAGGATCTTCCTACATTGCTATCTTGAACTGGACTCCCATTTATTCAATTATTTGACCTCATTTCATTTGTTTTCCACACCATCATCCTTTGAGGTAGGATGTTCTTGGATTATGTGCTGAAACTCAGGCTCTGAGAGCAGCAGTGAATGCACCCAAGGCCCATGATCAGGAAGGATTGGTACCTAGGCCAGCCCATTCCTTGCTCCTTTGCCCATGTGTGCATTTGAATTGTCAGTGTCCTTCATCACGGATCACTGGGAACACACCTGCAGTGGAACAAGCCGGACTTGCTCCTCAGTGCAGCAAGAGATACGCACTATGGGGAACCATGGAGTGTTTCAGAAAGAAGGTGTTAGGAATAATCAATGATAGGATTTGGGTTTTGGATGGGCAATGTGAAGGGCAGGTCTATGAAACTGGGGGCTTGCTCTAGGTTGGACTCTATCTGAATGCTGTTGGAAGAGTGTTTATTGAACACAGTCTGTTGTGTACTGAATGGTTACACTGGGGTTAATTTCCCTTCCTTTCTGTTGTAAAGTAAGTTGTTGAACCAGATGACACAAGAAATGCCATGCAATAGCATTAAAAATTCTCAACAGGATACATTTGGCCAACTGTTTTACAGGCAGTCCTTAGAAACACAAGAACTATTAGTCCTGTATCAGATCTCCAAGCCAGGGGCTGAGATTATGACCCCGGGTAATGGAAACATGTGCCAGAACCAAGTTTGGTCTGCTCTACACAGCCAAGGGACTTTTCTTTTAGTTTAGTCACAGGTTGTTTTCCCTGTGGTGTTTACATAGATGTAAAAAAGGAGTATTTGCTATAGCTTACATAAACCCACCCCTTTGGTAGCTAAGAGAAAAATGAGGCTGTATGATTATTCTTGACAACTCTGAAGAAGGAGCTTATTTTGTTGGCATTTCAGAGCAGAAAGAGTTTCATATGTGATTTCAGCTAAAATTTCTGATTCATTCTGAATGATCATCTCTAGTTTTGTTACCTTGGTTTACAGAATATGTATAAAAACAAATCAGTGATCCCTTTTGGTGTTTTTCTGAATAACATGTTAATTTTATTTTGGATTATTGGAGCAATGGTATTTTAAATATTGATGTGGATTCTGGCCGGCAAAATCGGTGTGTGTTGTGGCTGCAAGAAACAAACACACACTGACTACATAAGTCCTGTGGAGAAAAAGGGATGGCATGGCTGTTATCCGAGTGAGAGGGCCCCGACCCCTCCCTGAACGGGCTCTTATTGGATTTCTGGGTACATTACATGGAGGGTAGTCCTCCTTTACTAAGCATAGGTTTGCTGCAGGGGATTACCTTTTACAGGTAACAACAACAAAAAAAGAATGTTGTTAATTACTTCAAAGAGAAGGATGTTACAGATCAGGGGAGAAAGTGGCTGAACTGGTTACACTCCATACTTGGGACGTTTAGCACAGATTTTAGGAAGCTACTTTAAAGATATGCAGTAAACATTTTCTGCCTCAAGTCAGGGTGAGGGACTTTTTAGCAAAAGCAAGTCTCATAGCAGCCTAGCTACAATGCAGGCCTAATTCCCCACAGGAGAACCTACCCATGGGCATGGGTCCTGTGTGTCAGAACCTTGCTTCCCACTGGCCTTTCCAAGTGGGAGCTGGGCTACATTCCCATGCCACACAGAACGACTCCCTATAAAATATCTGGGAAAATCTAGCAATGACTGAGTACACAGGGTGAGTTAGTGTGTGGTAGACAGATATAAGCCTGGTATCTGGTAAGAAATGGTGTCCCACTGAAGCTAGATTGTATAGGTAGATATATATTGTTTAGTATAATGGGATAAAAGTCCTGTCCAGTGCACCTTTTCTATAGAAGCTATATATACGTCATGTAGGAGTGGGAGTTTTAGTCTGTTGATATAAAGATGGAAATAAAATGTTTGTAATCATGTAGGATTGAAGATTGGAGTGACATTTCAAAATGCATGAGGTTACATGTTATTAATTGATAAGAAAGTAACATGTGAGTCCCAGGGGTGGTTGAACTTATGGACACTGTGCTAATGGTAATCGTTTAAGTCATAGAATCTTAAAGGTTTCCAAGAGGTTTGCTAATTTTACTTAAAAATATCTGTTAGTTCTGTTTTCCAGTGGAAGATAAGGACACTGAAGTTTCTGGATTAAAGGGAAAACATTATAGTGTTTCTTAATAAGTCATAGAAAAATTAGTATCTCTGTCATGAAAGAGTGAGTGGGGGTTTTCCAGGTTGGAAAGCAAAATTAAGCTCTTGTTTTTGCCTAAGGCCTCTTACTCTCTGCCTAGGAAGTGTCTAATTCATAGTGAAAATAAACTATAACCAGAATGTATTTCTCATCTCTAGCAGGAGGCATTTGTATGAATTCCCTTAAAAGTGTCTGAAGAGCACTTGAGGTTCTGGTTCCTGCCCTTGTCCATCTTTACATTTTATCAGGATTGTTTTCTTTGCGCGAAGGATGTATTTTAGAGACATCCTTAGCAATGCCTGTAACATTCCCACATGAATGTTGGTTAAATATTGTTTCCGGTTATCTCTGCAATTATGGGTAATATTTTGTAAGACATCACTGTAAATTTTTTGTGGTATAAATAGACTATCCTGAGATGTAATGAGCCCACTGTCTTTAGTTTTAATACAGGGCTTGTTCCGACAGTTAATAGCCTCTCTGAACTTCTCCAACTCTTCTTACCAGTGCGACTACAAGAGTATTTCTCTAGGTGCAGCTTGTTCCTTTAGCATAGTGGTCAGCTCAAGCATTGCCTCTGGGGCCTGGGTCTTTGTGTTCTTTTCTTAGTCTTATAGTTATTTTCTTAGTAGCAAAGCATCTAAAATGTCTTTGCCATTCAACTTTTATAGAACTTCTTGACATTTTCAGCCAAGATGGAGGCGTAGGTAGACACACTACCTCCTTGCACAACCAAGCTAAGGGCAACGAGTTTAAAAACAAAAAACAACCATAACTGCCAGAAAATAGACCTCTATGGAAGTCTGACAACCAAGGAGTTAAAGAAAAAATATTCATCCAGACTGGGAGGAAGGGTGGAGGTGGGCAGCGGGGGCAGAGAGGGTGCACATGGCATGGTGTGGCTGGAATACTGGGGCTGGCAAGGCTGCGGCTGGTGAAATGGGCGGTGCCACACACGTGTGTGAATAAACCAGGAGGAACAACTGGGGAATGAGACAGAACATGCAACCCAGAGTTCTAGTGTGGGGAAATAAAGCCTCAAAACTTCTGAAAAAATCTGTGGGTGTTGCGGTGGTGGGAAAAACTCTCGGCCTCACAGGAGGGTTTGTTGGAGAGGCCGACAGGGTCCTACAATGTTCACAAACCCACACACAAGGAAATCAGCACCAGAAGGGACCAATTTTCTGTGGGTAGCAGGGGAAGTGACTAAAAGTTGGCAGAGACCTGAGCAAGTGACATTATTTCCTCTCGGACCTATTCTCCACATACACCATCACAACACAGTGACGTTGGTTACCCTGCCCTGACGAACACCTAAGGCTCCTCCCCTCACTATGTAACAGGCAAAGAAAAAAAAAAAAAGGCCCAAATGAAAGAACAGATCAAAACTCCAGAAAAAAATACAACTAAGCCACGAAGAGGTAGCCAACCTATCAGATGCACAGTTCAAAACACTAGTGATCAGGATGCTCACAGAACTGGTTGAATTTGGTTGCGAATTAGATGAAAAAATGAAGGCTATGCTAAGTGAAATGAAGGAAAATGTACAGGGAACCAATAGCGATGAGAAGGAAACTGGGACAAAAGGAAGATATAAACATTCAACCAGAAGGGAATGAACAAACGAGTACTCAAAAAAAAAGGAGTCTTAAGAACCTCCAGGACATCTTTAAACATTCCAACATCCAAATTATAGGGGTGCCAGAAGGAGAAGAGGAAAAGCAACACGTGGAAAAGTTACTTGAACAAATAATGAAGGAGAACTTCCCCAATCTGGCAAAGGAAATAGACTTCCAGGAAATCCAGGAAGCTCAGAGTCCCAAAGAAGGTGGACCCAAGGAGGAACACACCAAGGCACATCATAATTACATTATCCAAGATTAAAGAGAAGAGAATCTTAAAAGCAGCAAAAGGAGACAGTTACCTACAAAGGAGTTCTCATAAGACTATTAGCCAATTTCTCAGAAGAAACCTTACAGGCAAGAAAGAGCTGGAAAGAAGTACTGGAAGTCATGAAAGGCAAGGACTTACATCCAACATTATTCTCTATAGTAAAGCCATCATTTAGAATGGAAAAGCAGGTGAAATGCTTCCCAGATAAGGTCAAGTTCAAGGAGTTCACCATCACCAAGCCCTTATTATATGAAATGTTAAAGGGACTTATCTAAGGAAAAGAAGATAAAAATCTATGAACAGTAAAATGACAACAAACTCACAACTATCAACAATTGAACCTAGAAACAATAAAAACAAAGACAAAAATGAACTAAACAAACACCCAGAACAAAACAGAATAATAGAAATGGAGATCACATGAAGGGTTATCAGTGGGGAGGTGGAGGGGGGAGAATGGAGGAAAAAGTACAGGGAATAAGAAGCATAAATGGTAGGTACAAAATAGACAAGAGAAGGTTAAAAATAGTATAAGAAGTGGAGAACCCAAAGAACGTACATGTAAAACTCACGGACATGAACTAAGCGGGGGAATGTGTGTGGGAGAGGGGGTGTCGGGCAGAGGGGAATTAAGGGGAGAAAATGGGACAACTGTAATAGCATAATCAATAAAATATATTTAAAAAGAAAGAAAAAAGACAATGAATACTCAGAATTTAATTAGAACACTGGGGTTCCAGCCATGATAATTCAAATCCCATGGAGGGAATAAGAGCATAGTTTACCTTCATTTGAAAGAATCCAAATAAATGTAAGTTGTATGTAAGAAAAGGCACACAACCATTCAAGGCTTTTGAAAAAAGCATCATTTATTTCAAAGTACAACACGAAGTTGTATTTTTAAGAAATACACATTCAATCTTGTTATCTCAAGACTTGGCTATGTGTATTTCAGTTTATCTTTAAAATAAATTCAGGTATACAAATGTTACATACCTCAAGTACAAACAGCACAGAAAATGCATATGGTCTTAACTGAATGTTTTTACATTCACTGTTCTTAAATTGACTTACATTTCGGTAATCTGCTTTTAAACCAGGACAGCCTTATTTTAAAAAAATACTCTGTATTTTTCAGCACAAAGTCCTCATACATTTTTAAAATTAGATCTTGGTGCATAATATTGCGAAATTATAAAAAACCAATCCTGGTAATTTAATAAAATTGTCACATGCCAGAAATTCTGAATCAAATCAAAAATTATTTCCTTAGCTGTGATGTCAGATTTGCGTCCATACAGATAAAGAATGGAAGGAGACAGGTGGTTGGAAACTTGATAACAGTTAAGGTTTTCAGAAGTACAGGTCTTACTGGAGTTTGTGGCCAAGTCCAGACTTTTCTAAAAGCAAAGAGCAAATCTCATTATCATAATTGCAAGAAATATCTGAAAGCAGCGAGTGGTACAAGCCTGCCCTGCTTGAGTCTGTTTTGCAGAGAAGTGGAGGGTAGGGAGTGGGAAGCTACAACAGGAAGAGCCTTAGAAAGATGTCTCAGAAACTGGCATATCATGATCTAGATAGAAGAGGGCCCCCACTTTTTTTTTCTTTTTGCTTAATTTCAATTTTCATGAGGGAAGTGCGAATTAGACCACGGGTCAGAGCTTCTTCTTCCAATCGTGGGGCTCCATATTCGCCATGGGTTGTAGGTCTGTCCCAAATCATCAGCTGGACTGGAGGCAGAAGGAGCGTGAGGAGCAGAGGAGTTCTCTGAGCCCATGAGGCCAATGCTGGTCAGTGTGTTCGATGGAGTGGTGAAAGGAAGGGCGCTGCTAAGGTTGCTGGACCAGATTGAGCTGCTGAAAGGAGGGGTGGACCACAAGCCGCTGGTGTTGCCAAGAACTGACTGCAAAACAGAAAACATACAACACGGGGTCAGGTTGAGACTGGTAGGCAGATGGTAAAGCAGTGAAGATTACGTGTAAAATGGGGGCTGGGTCATAGACACCTTTCACTTTATTTTAAAACAAATTAATTATTATTTGTCTTATGTATAGCCATTCTGGGGCTGGAGCAAATGGTTGTAAGCTTTTATAGCACTGGCCAACTACAGCCTGTGGCTACATCCAGCCCTGCCTATTTCTGGGCATAGTGTCCCTGGAGCCCGGCCGCACCATCTATTCACGCGCTGTCATGGCTGCCTGGCCCCATTATGACAGAGGTGCGTACGTGTGATCCAAATAGCACAACCTAAAAAGCCTCAGGTATGAACTGACCTCTGTTTTAAAGAATAGTTGAGATGCTTTTAAAACTGAAGCCAAATGATCACAGTAGAGACAAACTTTGATATTTATTTAAATGAAGAAGAAATCACAGGAGAATCACATTTTTCTGTCAAAAATATTTTTTTCTGTCAAAATTTTGTAAAAGCTGAAACCAGTAATTATTTTCTTTGGTAAGAATACTTTCCTAGAGCATGATCTGTGCAGAAAAATCTAGCTGCAAAGCACATAAATACACATAGAAAACTCAAGACAAGACACAGTTGCTTCTCAGAAACAAAATCAAAGGTACCGCCCAACAAACCCAGCGACCACCTGTTTCTTCTCTATGAGTTTGTTTTCTTCATTTATTTTGTATTTTAGATTCCACATGTAAGTAATGTCATCTGGCGTTTGTCTTTCTCTAACTTACTTAACTTGGCATAATACCCTCTGGGTCTATCCATATTGTTGTAAATGTCAAGATTTCTTTTGTATGGTACACACTGTATATGCAAACCATACCTTCTTTATACATTTTTCTCTGATGGGCACTTAGGTTGCCTCTGTATCTTGGCTGTTGTAAATGCCACGATAAACACAGCAATGGAGGCCTTTATCTTTTTGAATCTGTATTTTGGATTTCTTCAGATAAATACCCAGATATTGTACTGCTGGACTGTATGCTAGTTCTCTTTTTTAATTTTTGAGGAACCTCCATATTGTTCTCCACGGAGGCTGCACCAATTTATAACTCCACCAACAGTGCATGAAGGTTCCCTTTTTTTCATTTCTTCACCAACATTTGTTTTTTACTAACGAGCACCATTCTAACAGGTGTGAGGTGGCAGATTCGTGCTTTGAATCTGCATTTCCCTGATGATTAGTAATGCTGACCATCTGTTAGTGGTGTCATCTTTGGAGAAATGTCTCTTCACATCCTCTGCCCAGTTTTTCATCAGATTGTTAGGTATTTTTTGGTGTTAAATACAGAGAGGGGCAAATGTAGGTTTACAGCTGCTTGTATAGAAAGTAAGACAATAATAAACTCCATGTTTTGTGTACTCATAACTGTAAACCTACTTTTGCCCCACCCTGTACGAATTCCTTAAATAGTTTGGATAATAACCCCTCTCAGATGCATCATTAGCACATACACCCTCCCATTCAGTAGGTTCTTTTCATTTTGTTGGCTTCCTTCGCTGTGCACAAACTTTTCAGTATGATATAGCCCCTTTTATTTATTTTTCTTTTGTTTCCCTTACTCAAGAAGCCATAACCAAAGAAAAATATGAAGAGTGATGTCAAAGAGTTCACCGCCTATATTTTCTTCTTGGAGTTTTATTGTTTCAGGTTCTTACATCTAAGGCTTTAATCCATTTTTTCACTCCTGTATATGGTGTAAGAAAATAATTGTTTCATTTTTTTATGCACGTATCTCTAGTTTTCCCAATACTGCTTATTGAAGAGACTGTCTTTACCCCATTGTATATTCTTGTCTCCTTTGTCATGAATTGAACGTATAAGCATGGTTTTACTTCTGGGCTCTCTATTCTGTTTCACTGATCTGTCCATTTTCATGCCAGTACCATAGTGTTCTGATTATGATAGACTTGTAGTACAGCTTGAAATCAGGTAGTGTGGTATCTCTAACTTTGTTGTTCTTTCTCAAGATAGCTTTGGCTAATTTGTGGTCTTTATACCTCCATAAAAATTTTTAGATTATTTGTTCATTATGTGAAAAATGCCCCTGGTGTTTTTAAAAAAATATTTTATTTTTAGAGAGAGGAGAAGGGAAGGAGAAAGAGTGGGAGAGAAACATCAATGAATGGTTGCCTCTCATGTGTCCCCTACTGGGGACCTGGCCTGCAACCCAGGCATGTGCCCTGACTGGGAATCAAACTGGCGACCCTTTGCTTCACAGGTCCGTGCTCAGTCCATTGAGCTACACCAGCCAGGGCACCCCTGGTGTTTTGATAGGAATTGTTTGATGACAGTATGGACAGTTTGATGACATTAATTCTTCCTATCCATGAGCACTGTTCATCTTTCCATTTGTGTTTTCCAATATTATGGTGAATCAAAGTGATAAAAGTGGACATTCTAGTCTTATTCCATATCTTAAAGACAATGCTTTTAGCTTTTCACTGTTGAATATGATGCTTGTCATATCTTGCCTTTATTATGTTGAGGTATATTCCCTTGATAACCACTTCAGAGTTTATGATAAATGAATGTTGGATTTTGTCAAATGCTTTGACTGCATCTATGGATATGATGATACGGTTTTCATCCTTCATTTTGTTATATGGTGTATCATGTTAATTAATTTGGGGATACTGAACCAACCTTCCACACTGTGAATAAATCCCATTTGATGATGGTGTGTGATCTTTTTAATGATTTTATGTATGTATGTGTGTATGTATGTATGTATGTATGTTTAGAGGGGAAGGGGAGAGAGGGAGAGAAACACCAATGTATGGTTGCCTTTCGTGGGTCCCCTGCTGGGAATCGAACTGCGATTGTCTGGTTCGCAGGCCCGTGCTCAATCCACTGAGCTACACCAGCCAGACGTGTGTGATCTTTTTAATGTATTGTTGAGTCGTATGGTAATATTTTAGTGAGGACTTTTGCATCTGTGTTCATCAGAGTAATGATGGCCTTGTAAAATGAGCTTGGGAGCCTTCCCTCATCCAAAATTTATTGTGACAGTTTGAAAAGTATAGGTATCAATTCTTTGGATGCTTGGTGAAACTCTGAAGACATTTGGACCAGGATTTTTGTTTGTTGGGAGTATTCTCATTACTGATTCCATTTCATTAGTAATGAGTCTGTTTAGATTTTGTTTTTTTCCTAATTCAGACTTGAAAGACTGTATGTTTGTAGGAATTTATCAGTTTCTTCCAAGTTGTCCAATTTGTTGACATATAATTGGTCTACTATTTTCTTATCCTTTCTGTTTCTGTGCTGTTGGTAATCACTTCTCTTTCATTTCCAATTTTAGTTTTTGGTTGTCCTCTCATTTTTTCTTGATGGGTATGATTATCAATTTTGCTTATCTTTTCATAGAACCACCTCCTGGTTTCATTCTTCTTTTCTATTGTGCTAAAAGACTCTATTTAATTTACTTCTACTCTGATCTTTACTATTTCCTTCCTTCTACTCACTTTAGCACATTTAATTATTAATAGGTATGTAGCTACTGCCATTTCATTGTTTTAATTGATCTTGCAGTTCTTCTCTGTTCTTTTCTTATTTGCTTGATCTCTTCTATGTTGTTGACTATTTATTGTGTTTTTGAAGTCGTTTGTTTCTTGTATATCTCCTGTAGGTTTTTGGTTTGTGGTTACCATGTGCTACATATATACCAATCTATGTTTACAGCAGTCTATTTTTAGTTAATTGTTGCTTAAGTTTGAACACATTTTAAAATCCCTAAAATTTTTACTCACTGCCTCCACATTTGTTTGTGTCATTATTTTTCCTTCTTTTGTGTGTGTGTGTGTATATCCCTTTATTATTGTAATTACACATGACCTTCTTATGTTTGCCTTTTAGCCTTTGTATTAGCTTTATAGTTGGTTGATCCACTGCTTTAATTGTTTACCTTCATCAGTGAGCATTTTTCCCTTTCATATGTTTTTTATTTATATTTTAGGTCTTTTCCTCTTCAAGAAGTTCCTTTAACATTTATTCTAATACTGGTTTAGTGGTGATCAAATCCTTGAGTTTTTTCTTGGCTGGGAAAAAAGCTCTCCTTCAATTCTAAATGATAGCCTTGCTGGGTAGAGCAGTATTAGTTGTAGGTGTTTATCTTTGCTCACTTTGAATATTTTGTGCCCATCCCTTCTGCTGAGAAATCACCTAACAGTCTTCTGGAAGCTCCCTTGTAAGTAACTAACTGCTTTTCTCTTGCTGCTTTTAAGATCCTCCGTCTTTAATCTTTGGCATTTCATTTTTTAGAAAAGCTTTTTATTTATTTATTTTTAGGGAGAGGGAAAGAGAGGGAGAGAAACATCAGTGTGTGAGAGATACATCAATTGGTTGCCTCTCATGCACCCCCACCTGGGGACACCTGGCCGACAACCCAGGTATGTGCCCTGACTGGGAATCAAACCAGCAACCTTTTGGTTTGCAGGCTAGCACTCAATCCTCTGAGCCACACCAGCCAGGGTAACCTTTGGCATTTTAATTATCATGTGTCTTGGTGTGGGACTCTTTGGGTTCATCTTGTTCAGCACTCTGTGCTTCCTGGATTCTGTGCCTACTTCCACTGTCAGGGAAGTTTTCTGTCATTATTTCTTCAATATGTTTTCAATCCTTGCTCTTTCTTCTTCTGGTACCACTATGATCCAATGTTGGTACGCTTGATGTTGTCCCAGGGGTATCTTAAAAGTACTCTTGTTTTCAAATTTTTTGTATTTTTACCGTTCTGACTGGGTGTTGGCCACTATCTTATCTTCTACATCATTAATTTGATCCTCTGCTTTTGATTTCCTCTAATGTATTTTTCATTTCACGTATACTTCTCATTTATGGTCTTTTTATGTTTCTACCTTCTTTTTTGTTTCCTTTTTGTTGAAGTTCTCACTGAGTTCATCTATTCTTCCCCTAAATCTATTAAGCATTCTTACAACCAAATGTTTTGAATTCTGCAGCTGGTAGACTGCTTATCTCCAATTTGTTCTTCTTCTGGAGTTTGATCCCGTTCTTTCATTTGAGACATGTTCGTCTCTTTGTTTTGGCTGTGTTCCTGTATTTGTTTCTGTGTATTGGGTAGATCTGCTGTATCCAGGTCTTGACAGAATGTTCTTATTTAAGAGGTGTCCTATAGGGCCCAGTGGTGCAATCTCCTTGGGAGTCTATTGTGTGCCTTGATTACTGCTGGGACTGACCCTCAAGTTGACTGGCTGTGAGGGCTGGTTGTGACTACAGTGAACAAGCTGTTGTGTGTGACCTTCACAGAGTGAAAGATGCTTTAGTGGGGCTCTAGTACCAGCTGAGTCCACTGTTGAGATGTGTTATTTGTGGAGCTGGTTGGGTGGTACCCTTGTGTGGTCTAAAGCTGGCCACCAGTTATGTTTGTTCTAGAGCCTCTAGGGAGGCTCAAAGTCAACTACCATTTGAACCTGGCTTGGTACCATCTGGTAAGAGGTACAAAGTGATCTATGGTTGGGTGCTGCTTGTGCTGAACCTGGAGGCATTTGGGAGAGGCCCTTCTGGAAAACAAGGCTGGGTGCCACTAGCGTCAAGCTTGGGACCTGTAGGTGGGCATCACAATGTGAGCTGAGGCTATCTGCCACTTGGCTGAGTGTGTGGCCACTTAATTGAGGCTATATTTTAAGCCAAGACTGGCTGCTGCCTATGCCAGCCTTGGGGGCTAATGGATGGGAGTTACAATGCAAGTTGAGACCTTTTGCTGCTTGTGCTGAGCTTGGGGTAGCTTAGTAAGGGGTACTGGTTGCACTGAAGACTGCTGATGCTTATTTGGGGTTTGTGGACCTTTGAGAGATTTTAGGAAAGTCTGCAGCACAAACCAACACAGATCGCTTGTGTGAAGAAGCCCCTGAAAGAGTTTTGGCCAGGCAGGAGAGTTGGGTGAGGCAGGGTCTCGTGGAATCACCAGAGTGGGGATATTACGCTAATAAAGAGCTCAGATTTGAAGCCAGGATTGCTGGGTGTAGGGAGAGCTCAACAAAGGAACTATGCCACCTGCCAGCACTTCTGTCCCTGAAGAGAGCTTCCCCTCTATCCCTTGTCCTCCTAAAGCTAGTCAATTTAGTTCCTCTCCCTATGTCCCTGGTGCTTTCTGAGCTGTTGGCCCCGTGCTTAAAAGTGGAGTGAATCTCTGTGCAAGCCCTTTAAGAGCAACACCTTGGTCTCTAGCAGTCCTTTGTCTCTCATGGTATCCCTGCTGGTTTTCACAGACACATTATGGGGACTCTTATTCCTGGCACTGGCAATCCAGGCTGGGGAACCCATGTGGGGCTGGGCTTCTCACTCACTCCTCAGGAAAGACCTCACCAGTCTGTGTCTCCATTCCTTCCTACTGCTCTGGATATGGCTTCTTTTTTATACCCTTAATTACAGGACTTATGTTCAACTAGTCTTCAGGTGGTTCTCAATAATGGCTGTTCTAATTTAGTTAATTTTGATGTGGTCATGGAACAAGGCAAGAACAGTGTTTACCTACTCCACCATCTTGACTAGCAGCTCCCTCTTTTCATAATTTCTTGACTTTAATGGCTCTGGGTCAATTGATGGGTCACTTTGGCAGATGTGAAGGCACAGTCAGAAAGACAGTAACAGTTCTACCCCAACCTTCCCACACTGTTATCAGTTGTTTATAACCGTGGCAGTAATGATGAGTAAGCCCTGGGTACTCACTGTGGCTGTGTGGGTCGGGGGACTGGAACTGGCTGGCCAGGAAGGGCTGGGATCTGTTGCTGGAGAGTCCCAAAGGTAGGCAGGGCCACTACTGAACTCATTCCAGCTCCTCTGGGATGCCTGATTGCATGGTCGAGATAACCCAAGTTTGCTAAAAACTTCTGAAAATAAGAACGCAAGTTCAAATCCATATTTTATTTTGCCTGGATCAAGAAAGTGGCGTGTCCAATAATTTACTATATATTATGTAGTATCTGCTCCAATTTCTTTCTTCTCAAAGACATTTCTGTTCTTCTATGTCTAATCAGATCACGTCCTTTCTCACCAAGGACAGGGTCGGGCATGCACCACCACTGCTCGCTGGGAGTCACCACACCCACCTCACTGGCTCCCACCACACTCCAGGAGGGAATGGGGGATGGTCCCTGGAACTTAGGCATACAGTGCATGATTTGAATACTTTACCCAAACCTAGATAACATAAATTGAAGGCATTTCCCCACTCTAACATTACAGTCACAGCTAACGTAAAACTCCCATAGTGGTCTCCAATTCTGTATAGCAAGAAAATGTAAGGAGCCCTGGCATGGCCAGGAATCACATTTCAGACACAGAATCCTTTCCTGCAGTTTGTAAGTGTTGCAGAACACAAACCAACAGAGACTCACACAGCATCGAGCCTGTTCCATTGTACCTCTGGGCTGAGAGGAGAGTGGGAGGGGACCCTTCCTCGAGGCCCTTATTGGGCCCCATGAGCATCTATCCAAGCAGCAAGAACAGACCCACTTCCCTAAGGTAAACCCACATATTTTATGTCTGTTGGAGCCCAACTGCAAATACAAAGAAATGCATCTTTTAAAAATGTCTACTACATGACAAATCATGCTTTCCCCTCTACCTCAGTGTGTTTCTTCACACATAAAACTAGACTTTGTCCTCCTTCCTTCTTTGTGCACAGGCTTATTAGTTATAGGTCTAGTGTGAAACACTCACCACCGGTTAGGTTAAAAGAATTCCCAAAGGCGGAGAATGAATTGAGGGGTGTGAAGTCAGGGCTGCTGGGGTTGCTGACGGGACTCCACAAACCCGAGCTGAATGTTACAAAAGGAAAATACAACGCAAATGGGTGATGGTTAGTGTAAATAGATCCCTTAAGTATGGCTTCACGAAGGGGAGATGCTGCTTCAACTGGGGGCACTCGAGTATTAAACACAAACACGAAGGGGAGAGCTGAAAACAGTGTCTACGCCTCAGAGGGTTGAAAGGACAGAGAATTCCAGAGTTCCTGCTCCTTATTACAAGCTGAGAGCCTGGGGATATTGCTACCTTATGTTTACTTTTTGGTAATAAAAGATTTATTTCAAAACATTTAACCACAGACTCATTTCCTTTTAGTGCTAAGCAGGTAAAATTGGGGTTCTGCTTATTGACGGTCTTTACTGTTACTGTTATTTATCTGGGAAGATAAACCAAGGCACTCACTGCATGCCACTAGGTCCATGCAGTGCTCTGGGTCAAGGAAGTGGCATGTCCAGTAATTTACTATGAATTATCTAGTATTTGCTCTAATTTGTTTCCTCTTAAATCCATTTCTTTCTGTTCTTCTACATCTAACTATCTGATCACAACCTTTCTTACGGAAAGCTATGATAATGGAAAAGGACAACACAAACCTCCCTCTCTGCTAGGGTGACACGTATCGGTGCGCCTCCTTCCTTCTCTCAGGGGAGCTATGGGGGAAGCACAGTAACTAAGCTTTCTACTTTCACCCAAAAGACAAGAGCCCCTGGAAGCCTGTACCATTTCTGACAAATGCCTACTTGTAATCTAGGGAAAAATGCCTGGAATACATGTATGGATGGAAGATGCTAACCTGACTCAAGAAACCAGTCCGTCTTTCTACTGAGTAAGAATGGTCTACTGTACCTGTCTGAGCCATCGCTGTCACCAGGAGTGTGTGAAATGCCAAGACTGCTGGAAAAATCTGTTTTGTTCGAAGAAACTTTAGCAAAGCCATTCCCACCTGTAACAATGGACCCTGAATCAATCAAAGACAAATCAGGCCAAAGGTAATTCCATTATGCCTGAAGCCCCGCTGTTATAGGCCTTCTGATGCCAGGCCACTCACCTGGGCTCTTGTCATAGCCAGCTGTGACCGCAGCAAAAGTAGGGTTGCCATTCTTGCCAGGAAGTGAGGCTGCTTTTGTTAATTTGTGCTGGCTTCCATTTGGCTGCTTGGTTTTTGGGTCACTGAAGAAAGAAGCAAAAAGAAAACACCTAATCCCCCATCAGCACTGCCCGCTGGAGGCCCGTCGGGGCACCTCAGGACTGTGGCTCCACAGGACTGGGCCCACACAGTCAGCACCGTCACTGTGCCAGGCGGGGCTGCCCGCAGGGCACAGCCCAGCACGTCATGTCAATGGTCTGGGACCTACAACTTCACAGTCAAATGGAAAATAAGGGATTTATGGGGAAAAGTAAGAAAATACAGGATCAGTATAAGAGACCAGGATCACAATTTAGGGACTGGAAAGACTGTTTAAGAGAAGGAGTTTAGGGAGGGAGGCACTAGGAAGTGAACAAGGAGTAGAATGTGAGGTCTTGATAGGTGACAACACATGACAAACTGGTTCTTAGGAGTGTCCTCCCCTCTCAGGACTGGCCAGAAAGCTCACGGTGGAAAGGCCCAGGCTGGGTACTCTCTCCCAGATTAAGTAGATGCTGCCTTTTTCAGCAAAAGGTAAAAAGTTGGCAGGTGCACCGTAGTTTCCTCATGTGGAAAGCAGGGGTGGTGACAGTGCCTGGTCTGTGCTTGCTGGGAGGGTGAAATGCAGGGACGGCTGTGTGGTGCTGAGAACAGTGCTGGTGCACGGTAAGAACGTGGTCAGGACTGGACAGGTGGTTACAATTACCACTGAGGTTACTGTTACCCTTAAAGTCAGTCAAACACAAGTGTGGCTGTGCCTCCGGTGAGGAGCACCACTTGAGGGGTCCTATCTGCCTGTTAGGAGGTGCCTTGCTGTGCACACGTCTCCTACTGCAGCACACTTATTCTAGATCCCGTCCTCTTAACTGTTAAGCTAAAGTGCCATAAGGTTAGGATAAATGTCCCATACAGCCATTTCCTCAATTCAAAGGACATTTGTAGATCTTCATTTAATGCTCAGCATACTTATTTACTCTTAAATTAGAATATAATGCTAATAAAAGTTATATTATGTATTTCCAGCCCATGGATGATAAAAGCCAAGGGACAGAAGAGGTGCTGCTGAAATTGGGCACCAACATGACGGCACCAAGGGATACCTGACCCAGGGAAAGGACGGGGCTGTCAGAGCAGATGCAGGAGGCCAGACAGGATAGCAGTCTGTGGCCGCTGCATGTTCCTATTCAATGGGAGTGAGCCTCGGGTTTCTGGAGCACTTACCTGTTCAAGAAACAGGAAGCGACCAGGGAGCCTACCTGCTGGAGCTACTGTTGACAATGCTGCTGTAGCTGCCGCGGGATGTGAGCAGGCAAGGTGCAGTGGGGGGAGACGGAGAGGCAGGTGTTGGTGAGGTCTGGCGTTGTTTTAAGAAACTGTCTGCGTTGAGGGTTTGCAGAGAAAGTTTATAAAGACTATCAGTAGCTGGAAAGTAAAAATAAAAGGTCTCATTAATGTGATAGTTTTGCTTTTCAAAATAAGTTACTTTTGATGTTTCATCTGATACTACGCAGAAATCAAGTGCTTCTACAAAGAAAAACAAAATGAAAGCTTCTCCATGTGTTGTGTTCAAAGATTTAAAGAGAACAAGGAAAGCAGCTTCTCTCTGCATTATGAGGCCTCCCTGAAGCACCAGTGGGGCCCATCTCCACCGAGCCGTGTAGGAGCCCACACACAGGTCCGCTTTTCTTCCCTTCTCCCATGTCCTGCAGGAATGGGTAGGTGAGAATACTGTGTGGGCTCTGAGTTTCTATGTGTCCACACAGGCTCACACAACTGTGGCAGGTGCAGGGCCTGTGGCAAAACACCTTGCAGTTCACTGCACAATATTCTGTTCCCGCACACTTGGTGAGGTCCTGGCTCCTGGTTTACAAGGGTACAAACTCCTAGCATCTTCCTGCTTCCCTTTAGGGTAATGTCTACACAGCTGTTTTAAAAATTTAAAGCAAAAAATTGTCAAGAAATAATACTTCTGCACTCACTAAGTGGAAACACATAATACCTTCATCAGAAAAGGTATCACCACTTCTGATGAAGATGGCAGAGTGGGTAAACACCATGCCTGCTCACCTCCCCCTGTGACCACCCCATTAAGTTACAACTAAAGTAGAAGAACAAACAAAACCCAAAGTGAGTAGAAAGAAGGAAATAAGAGCCAGAGCAGAAAATTTTTTTAAAGTTAAAAAAAAGACAGAAAAAAAATCAGTAAAACATGAGTTTTTTTTGAAAAGGTAAACAAAATGAATAAACCTTTAGTCAGACTCATCAAGAAAAAAATGAGAGGGCCCAAATAAATAAAATTTGAAATGAAAGGAAATGGATGCTACACAAATAGAAAGAACTCTAAGAAAATACAACGAACAATTACATGCCAACAAGTGGGACTTGTTGCAATGGATAAACCTGGAAGCAATGGATAAACTCCTAGAAATGTACACTCTTCCATGAATCAGGAAGAAACAGAAAACCTGAACCTGATTACGACCAATGAAACAAAGCAGTAATTAAAAAAAATTCCCAACAAACAAAAGTTCAGGATCAGATAGCTTCACAGGTGAATTTTACCAAATATTCAAAGAAGAATTAGCACCTTCTCGAACTGTTACCTTACAGAAGAGGAGGGACATTCCTAAACTCACTTTGTAAGGCCTGCATTACTCTCATTCCAAAACCAAAGACAGTACAAAAAGGAAAATTATAGGCCAATATCCCCAATGAAATAAAAATCTTCAACAAAGTATTAATATACCAAATTCAGCAATACATTAAAAAGATGATCAAGTGTGAGTTATTCTCAAGATGCAAGATTGGTTCATTAATTATTAATGTGATATATACCACATAACAAAATGAAGGATAAAGATCCTATCATCATATCAACAGATGCAGACAGAGCATTAGACAAAAGCCAACATGAATTTATGATAAAAATTCTCAGCACAGTGAGGATACAGAAAACATTCCTCAACATAATAAAGGCCATATATGACAAGCCCACAGCCAGCGTCATACTCAACAGTGAAAAGCTGAAAATTTTTCTTTAAGATCAGGAACAAGACAAGGAGGCCCACTTTTACTGATTATATTCACCATAGTACTAGAAGTCCTAGCCAGAGCAATTAGGCAAGAGAAAGAAGTAAATGGCATCCAAATTGGAAAGGAAGAAGTAAAACTGTCATTGTTTGCAGATGACATGATACTACAGGGCCCAGCACAAAAAACACCTCCTTTTATTACAAATATTTTATTACAAAATCATAAGCATGTAATTTTGTAACATAACATTATCACACTCAAGCACACCATATGACACTTTACAGGAAATGTTCAAATTTAAACTATTAATTATTACCCTACCCATATTATTACTCATAATACCCATATTATTACCCTACCAACTACACTTGAGCAGGCGTTACTTCTGCCAGACCCGGTATATATAGAAAACCCAAAAAACTATTATAACTAATAAATGAACATACTAAAGTAGCGGGATACTAAACTAAGACACAGAATTCAGTTGCATTTTTCTAGCCAATAATGAACTATCACAAACAGAAATTAGAAACCAATCCTGTTTACAAATGCATTGAAAAGAATACCAAGAAATAAATTTAAATAAGGAGGTAAAATACCTGTACTCTGAGAACTATGAGACACTGAAGAGATAAACAGAAGATGATACAAATAAATGGGAGGCTACACTCTGCTCATGGATAAAAAGAATTAACATCATTACAATGTCCACACTACCCAAAGCAATCTAGAGATTCAATGCAATTCCTAATAAAACTCCAGTGACATTTTTCACAGAATGATGCCCCAGAAGTGTCCCAGAAGTTTATAGACCCTGAAGAGCCAAAGCAATCTTGAGAAAGAACAGTTTGGAGGAATCACGCTACCTAATATCAAACTATACTACAAGGCGATAAAAAGAATAAAATCTTGCCATTTGTGACAACATGGATGGACTGAGAGAGTATTACGCTAAATGAAATAATTAGAGAAAGACAAATACTGTATTATTTCACTTATGTGGAATCTAAAAAATAAAATGAATGAACAAACAAAACAAACTGATAATACAGAGAATGAATTGATGATTGCCAGATGGGAGGGGGTTTGGGGAATGGGTGAAAAAGGTGAAGGGTTTAAGATGTAATCAGAGGGTGGGGGAGGGGGATAATGGGGAAAAGAATGGGAGGGGACATGTATAAAGGACTCATGGACAAAGCCAAAGTAGATAGGACTGAGGGTGGGAGGTGGAGGCTGGTGTCTGGGACGGGTAGTGGAGGAAAAATGGAGACAACTGTACCTGAACAATAAAAAAAAAGTACAAATTGGCAGTTATCGCATAAAAACAGTTACAAGGATGTAAAGTACAGCAAAGAGAACAGAGTAAATAATATTGTAATAACTATGTATGGTATCAAAAGAGTACTAGACTTGTTGGGGTAATCACGTAAATTTTATAGTGTCTAATCACTGTTGTACACCTGAAAGTAATATAATATTGTATGTGAACTGTAATTGAGAAATAAATAAAAATATCGCAAAAAAGATTTTTCTTAAGCACTGAGCAGTATGGCTCAGTGGGTTGGGCATTGTTTTATAAAGCAAAAGATTACCGGTTCGACTCCCAGTCAGGGCAGAGGCCTAGGTTGCGGATTTGGTTCTCAGTTGGGGCATGTGCAAGAGGCAACCAACTGATGTTTCTCTCACTTTCTTTCTCCCTTCCCATCTTAAAATTTTTTTAATTAAGAAAAAGATACCACGTGTACCTTGGTGTTGGTCAGGTGACTGTGATACAAAGAAGTGTAAGGAAAGTGCTTTGGCCTCTGTGAATTCAGTCTCCCAGTCTTTGATGCTGCCCACTGACCCAGTTACACTGGCACAACTACGCAGCCCCACTGCCCTCGTTCCTTATCTTTGCCCAAAACTGCTCTGCCCAGTCTGACACATTTCCCCGTGACCCTCCTGGTTGGCCTTTTTATGTCTCATGCAAGTCCTATGTATAGTGAGCACAGCCTGTTGTACTCAGATTTCCTGTGAGGGTCTATTCCTCCTCACTTCCAGACTGAAACCTGTACTCATGGTGTTTCTATTTCCTTGTAATTCTCTTACATTTGATGCATCTCCCCAGACCCCTACGGCTCAGGGCCTAGATAAGGCTGTAGCTTCTTTGGTTGTGTCAAGGCCCCCATTATGGCACCCACCAAAGAAAACATCCTTTTCCTTGAAGCCCAAGCTATCCATTTGCCAGCGTCTGTGCCACCTTGTGCCTGCCCCGGGAGTTCTCCCTCACAAGGTGTTGGCCCTTTACTCACTGTCCTTACAACCGTCCCATCCACTCTCACCTGTGACCATGTGGACAATTCCTTCCCTCATGTGCTGTGTTGTTTGTTGCCATGATGCCCATGCTCGGGGCCCACCCCAAATGCCAGCTCCTCTATGAACCCCGCTCAAATCTCTCCATCCTCCTGCCCTCCTTGGAAGCCCCGATAGCACAGTGTGCCTCGATAATACCACATCTTCACCGCAGGGTCACTCACTATTTGTACACTTGTCCTGAATCTTCCCTACCTACCTCTTATACATTTTCTGACCTCCTCCAACACCATCAGAAGTGACCCGTCCTCCTGTGAACTCTGCACACTTTCACCCCTTACCCAACTTCTAAGTTCTTAGCCTCCATTCAACTTATTGAGGTTTCATTTACATTTCCTTTCACCTTAAACAGTACTGTTGTTCAACCCTGATTTTACCTTTAATGCAAATAAGCCAAACGTGAGTTTACTCTAACACTGCAGTGTAGACAAGTCAGTCCTAAGACTGGCTTGGCCCTCTCTTCATCCTAAATCCTGCCATCGGGTCCCTCCCTGTGTTTGTCTTTCTTGTCTTCTATTTCAGGCATAGACCTCTGCCTTATTTTAGTGGCTGTGCTACTGTCATGACTGACAGCAAGCCAAATCTAAGAATAAGGTAAAAAAATTAGTGAAGAAAATAATGAAACTTTCACATAGGTTGTTTATGTGAAAGATGTGGGTGAAGCTGAGAGTAAACTGAATTTTTAGAAAATAATTACATTCAAAGTGTATGAGAACAAGACAGGTTAAGCAATGTGGAGTTAACGTTCTCACAAAAAAGCAGCTTTCACTTCTGGCCAAGATGGAGGTGTAGGTGGAAATACTGTACCTCCTCACACAACCAAATTTAAGGGCAACTAACATTTAGAAACAAAAACACAACCAGGACAGAAAATTAAACTGTACCTAAGTCTGACAACAATGAACCATTCATCCAGACCGGTAAGAGGGGTGGAATCAGCAGCCAGCAGAGAGGGGTCCCGGCAGGAGGAGGCGGTGGTTAGCAGAGTCAAGAGCAGGGAGAAAACGAGCAAACCCAGTGAGATGCGCAAGGTGGTTGGCTGACTGCTGACACACATCCGTGTGCAGATTAACCAGGAAAAAAAAAAAAAAAAAAAAAAGGGCAGTGAGACAGACTGTGCAACCCAGGGCCTCAGCGACAGAAAATAAAGCTTAAAAGCACCAATTGCAAAATCTTGTGGGGGTGGAAGTTCTGGGAGAGGCTCCCAGCCTCACAGGAGAGTTTGTTGGAGAGACTCACAGAGTCCTAGAGTGTACACAAGCCCACACACCCAGGAACCAGCACCAGAAGGGCCCAATTTGCTTGTGGGAAGTGGCAGAGGGGACCAAAATCCAAGAAAGAGTGAAACAAGCGCCATTGTTCTCTCTCTGACCCCATCCCCACATACGGCACCACAACCCAGCAACTGGACTGACCTGCCCTTGTGAACACCTAAGGCTCCACCCCTCATACAAAACAGGCACGAACAGACCAAAACATTATGACTCAAACAGAAGAACAGCTCAAAGCTCCAGAGCCAATACTTCTAAGCAACCAAGAGGTAGCCAACCCATTAGATGCACAGTTCAAAAACTGGTGATCAGGATGCTCACAGAACCGGTTGATTTTGGTAGAAAATTAGATGAAAAAAAATGAAGGCTACACTAAATGAAATGAAGGAAAATGCACAGGGAAACAATAGCGATAGGTAGAAAACTAGGACCCAAATCAATGGAGTGGACCAGAAGGAAGAAAAAAAAATTACCAAACAGAAAAGAATGAAGAAACAAAAATTTTAAAAAAAAATGAGGAGAGGACATCTTTAAACGTTCCAATATCTGAATTATAGGAGTACCAGAAGGGGAAGAGGAACAGCAGTAAGTTAAAAAAAAAACTTATTTGAACAAATAATAAAGGAGAACTTCCCCAACTTGGCAAAGGAAATAGACTTTCAGGAAGTTCAGGAAGCTCAGAGAGTCTCAAAGAAGGTGGACCCAAGAACGAACACACCAAGGCACATCATCATTACATTAGCCAAGATTAAAATGAAGGAGAGAATTCTAGAAGCAGCAAGAGATAAGGGGACAGTCACCTGCAAAGGAGTTCTCATTAGACTGTCAGCTGATTTATCAAAAGAGACCTCTTACAGGCAAGATGGGGCTGGAAAGAAGTATTCCAAGTCATGAAATCCAAAGACCCACATCCAAGATTGATATATCCAGCAAAGCTTTCATTTAGAATGGAAGGGCTGATAAAGTGCTTCTCAGATAAGGTCAAGTTGAAGCAGTTCATCATCACCGAGCCCTTATTATATGAAATGTTAAAGGGACTTACCTAAGAAAAAGGAGTTAAAAATATGAACAGTGAAAGGACAGCAAACTCACAGTTAACAACATATCTAAAACAAAAGCAAACTAAGAGGACAGCTAGATCAGGAGCACAGCCACAGAAATGGAGATCACATGGAGGGTTAGCAACAGGGGAGTGGGAGGAGGAAAAGCGGGGAGAAGGTACAGAGAATAAGTAGCATAGATGGTGGGGAGAAAATAGAGAGGGGGGAGGGAAAGAATAGTATGGGAAATATATAGAAGCTAAAGAACTTACGACACATGGACATGAACTAAAGGGGGGAGCGTGGGGGGAGGAGGTGTGCAGGATGGAGGGGAATGAAGGGGGGGAAATGGGACAACTGTAATGGCATAATCAATAAGATATATTTTTTAAAAAGCAGCTTTTCAAATGATTCCCCAATCCAAACACGTCTTCACATTTTGGACAATGGGCAGTGGTGTGCTGGTACACCAGCTTCTGGGGAACAAAAGACTAATGTGAATCACTTGCTATTTCTCTGGTGTACAGACTCATTATAGTAAGTAGTTATTAACAATGGAAGGAGGCAAATGGAATCAGACATTAAGCCTGATTAACTAAGCTGCAGTTTCACAGACTCCCCTGGTGACAGCTGCATCCTCTGCCAAAGGGACTCAGTCCCCAGGCAGGCAGAAGGACTGGTTTTCCAATCTCCCAGGGGAATAATCAGCCTGTTACTGGGGGAAGGGAGAACCAGTAAGAGATTCCCTTGCAGAGGCATGTGCAGCTGAAGTCAAAATGGCAACCACAAAGGGGCAGAGTCTAGCCTGAGAAAACAGGGGAAAAGGACTGGATAGGGCAAGGGCAAAAAACTTGAAGGATCCAAGAAAGGGATTGGATAGGGGCAGGGCCTAGCATAGCACGAGGAAAACCTAGGAAACAGGTTGGATTGTTCGCAAGACAGCCTGTTTGTTCCTGGAACCAAGAAAATATATGAAGGATCAGCAGAGACCTCGGGACAGCTGCCACTAGAGCCTGCCTGCCCTCTATCTACATCTCTGAGGGAGTATTGTTTTCACCCCAATAAATCTTTCCACTACCCTTAAACTTCTCCCATGTGTGTGCTCCCTGAAATTCTTTTCTTGCGACACTATAAGAACCCATATTCTCCAGCAATGCTCTCACCATGAGCAACTAAGCTATAAGCTACTCTAAGCTACTGTAGTTTAACAACTGGCAGACTATTTAACAAGAGGCTTTTACTGGCTCTATAAGCTGGCTCCAGCAAACCAGACACTGGGTTGCCTTCTTTTAAAAATTTATATTTTTCTAAAGATTTTATTTATTTTCAGAGAGAAGGGAAGTGTGGGAGAAAGACAGGGAGAGAAACATTGATTGGCTGGTTGCCTCTTACACGCCTCTAACTGGGTACCTGGCCTGCAACCCAGTCATGCCCTGAGCAAGAGTCAAACCGGTGATTGGATTGCCTTTTAAAACAATGCATCCCTACTGAGTTGCCTAGAGTGATTCCCAAGTTGTCGTACTTACAGCTGCCAGGTTTGTGAACTGGCACAGAATCCCACTCTGGCGGCGGAGAGTCTTTTTCTCCCTCTGAGCTACTGGTGTTGCCTAGTTCTTGACTATTTGGGAGGAACTTCGCTAGGGCAGATGGCCTGTTATCCACTACCTTATTTGTACCTGCAGAGAGAGAAGAAAAGAAAGCTGTTAATGGACAACGACTCCTTTCTTTTAGGTCTACTTCAATGACTCCTCTAATGAGGATGAGAACACAATCAGCTTTTTACATGACTATAACTGATCACTGGTAATTCAGAACTAACGACTGTTAATATAACAAATCATGGAGGTATCTGTATGACAACAGCAAAATACCTTTTGTTTTCTGGCAATTCCGTGACTTGGAGCTGCTTGTCAGTGCAGCTGGGAGAGTGATCTTCGTTGGGAGGCTCTTCCGCTGTTTGCTTTCTAATGAGGGAGGGTACGGCAGCTCTAAGCAACTGAAAGACAAGCACAGAAGCAAAATTCAGATTTGTCCCATTTTTGTGGGGCAGAGAAGTCACTGACTGCTCCGCACTTTCAGCGCATGTTTTAGGAATCTGGCTTCCTGAGGCATTATATGCTCCCACCCTGAGGTTGAGCCTGCCTAGGAGACAGCTTGGCACTTGCAGACACCTCCTTTGCACTCTTAGTACTGACGACAAATGGTCAGAGCACCTGCCTCAGGTAATGGGCATAATGCCATTAGCAGGAACTTGCCATTTGGAAACTGTTGAATCATCTCCCAGTAAATACACTACTACTGGGGTTCCTGAATGTAGATATTCAGAAAGGTCAAGGTTCTGCTATTCAGAACTCCGAAGATGTGTTTTGTTGTAGAAACTACGGAATGAAACAGGCTATATAGATTCTCCCTCCTAGAAGGCCGCTAATCCACACCAGATTTCATTGTCAGTATGGTTTAAACCTTCCACATCCAATGGCACACACAGTACACTCCTTCCTCTCAAGGTAAGCAGATGACAGAATAAAGTATGATTTCATAAATAAATACATTTTAATGAAGGTTATTTACAAACATTTTATAAGGTACTAGGTCAAAGATCATTTTATTTTCATTCTTCTGTTTCTCTATATTTCACACATTTTCTATCGTAAGTAGATATTATACTTGGAATTAGTAAAATGGATAAAAAAATGCAAAGGGCATCAATTACTCCCAAAAAGTTTTAGGCACGATAACAAACTGACTTAAGAAAATAGTTTTATAAATCTTCTGCCTTTTTGCTTCTGACTGACAGGGTTACTTACAACTCCACCTTTTAAAAAAAACAAGAGCTCCCACGACAGAGACACCCACCTAGTCCTCTTGTGGTGGGTGAGTGTAAGTTATTTTTATGTCAGTGGTTTGTAAGTGTTGTGGATAAGGGCTGTCTAATTATGCAAAGCTTAACTTTGTGCCACTGTAAAATTAATTGGTTTTTAAGAAAAAAGGTGCCTGACAAGTACTTTATTTTTGCTGATTCATTCTTTTCTAAATTAAACCAAATGATCTCTATTAAGAAAACATTTTTTAAGGCTTCTGAATAAATGGTAAGGGCCAACGTAATTTAACTGATTATTTGTGAAAGAAAAAAAAGGTGTTTCCGATGCCAGACTTTATTCCGACTCAATACATGGAATAGGTAGGCTCCATGCAGAAAGGCAGGAAGCCAAGGGCAAGGTCAGGGTTTCCCTGTGCCGATGTGCCTGGTGTCAACCACCTGACCTATGTGTGCTATCTGAGCAGATTATGAGAGTAAACGTTGTTGTGAAACATTTGCTTCACAAATGTAAAATGATGAACAATTAGAAAACAAAAGGATCAACAAACAGCTGGTATCCTCAATCAGGGTTTCCTAGGTCTTTCTTGGTTCTCTAGAAGTCCTGACTCTTACTCCATGGCATCTCTGACCTACAAAAGTCTTGTGGAGGTCTGCAGGCCCAGTTCTACAGGGTGGAAGCTGGGAAATGAACGGACCAGAGCTCTGCCACTGCAGCCCAATGATCCACAATCCTCAGAAGTGATTTTTGTGAAGTTAACTTGGGAGTCTGGTAGCAGGGGCTTTATTGGCAGAGTCTGAGGCATCTCTCTCTGGCTTTCTCTTTTTTTAGAAACTGTGCATGACAACTCTGGGGTGAGGAGGGTTGGGGGGTGGAAGGATAAAGCCAAAAAAGAAAAAGAACTCATGGACACAGACTACGGTGTGGTCATTGTGCAAGGGATGGGTGGAGGTAGAGGAGGGTTAGGAGGGTTAAATGGTAATTAAAAAATACAATAAAACAGTTCAAATACAAAAAATAAAAATGAACCTCATAAAAATTAAAAAATGTGTATATATTCCCTCCAGATACAGTAAAACACTGAAAGCACTTATTGTTAGATGACAGGCATTTCAGGTATTACCAATGACAGGGCTACAAGTAACTGATTGCACCTGAACAGTGCACAGCGCGTACTACCCTAATTCAGTGCAGACAGGAAATGGCTCTATTCAGAGAGGCTACGTTGTTGCTGGTCATTAAAAGAAGTCTGTTTAACCCCCTACTCGACTGATGTACTAATGAATACTGACTCTCAATACTTTTAGTTTTATTCCTGAACTCAAAAAAACAGAAAACAAGATCTGTGAGTTCAAGAAATTAGATCAAGGAGATTAGAAGCATGTGGATTTCTCCAGTAACAGAGACAATTTTAAAAGGTAATTAGAGTGCAATGCTTAAATTGTTTTTCAGCAATGATTTCTCTTAGCTATGCATCAAGCGAACTTGAGTTGTCACTGTAACTGTCCCTTGAACAGGTGATATAGAACAGTTCACTGTAGCCTACAGTTTGCCAGAGAACTCAAAAACTTTGGCGGGGTTAGTGGTACTCCAGTGAAGTCTTTTTACAAACTTTTCAAAATCAAATCTGCTAATAGTCAACTTACTTCACACAAAAAAAATGAGAACACAACCTAAGTTGGGGAAGAGCGATGAGGGTGAGATTAACGTGTACTATTTGTTTTACATGATCACATCTCGGGCACTGAGTTCAGGCACCCAACCAGCCACCAGTAGAGTAACATCCATGTCCTGGGGTGCCAGACCATCAGCACCAATTAGTGCCTTAGAATGATCTCTCTCTGGGGAGGTCCGAGTGTGTCAGCCATGACTCCATCCGACATTCCTTCTAACTGGGTCAGACTATTCTCAACAAACTGTGTGACTAAGTCACTCAAACTAACAGTTTGCACAGAAGAGTAAATTTTAGATACTCCATTACTAGTCAATGCCATATGCTGTGCTATTCCTAAATTCAGGGGCAAGGTGAAACTTCTTTGCAGTAATCACTAATTTCTTACTAGCGTTCAGTTCTACAGAACAGACTACCCTGTCTGAGTAAAGCTGTGCAATCTAGGGAGAGAGTGGAGGTTATTGGTGTTTTGGCAAAGCTCAAGTATTACACCCAGAATAAGAGTTCTAGGCGAATTTTAATGATAACAAACTATGTCTTCCTTTATTGCTTTATACCTAATTCCTTCAACTTCCTGGGTCAATGTCCATTTACCACACAAAAAGGCAAGCACTGGCTTTCATGCTGACAGACATTTCATATGAAGAACTAGGAAGGGCATTACTAACAATGCTAAAACCAAAATCAGTTTATTAGGTGGATCTAAGACTTAATAGAAGTATGAAGTTAATAACCCAATAGTTCGACTTGTTCATTTACTTGGGGAAACATTCTGTAGCAAGCCTTCTTGGAGGGATGGGGTGAATGAAGGGGGGTGAAAATCCTGTCCCACAGGCCTGATGGAATTATTTCATGACAGACTTATCTGATAGGCACCATCTGCCCTGATTACCTAAGCATAGATTCTTCCAGGTTTCACGACACAGAATTCTAGATTCAACTGCTGCTCTGAATGAGAGAGCAGGTTCAGAACTCTCTGTCACAAGTTACGCTCCCACCTGTGGCTTAACCACTGAGGTCGTCTTTGTGCAGAAGTGAAATGGCTCTCTGCTGGGGAATGAGTTACCAACCTAAATTTTCTCAACAAGTTGTTACTTCTGCCTTTTATGTTTCTGACATCAAAAGCATGTGGCCATCCCTGAACAGTAAACAGTGGGCATCAGAAAGAAACCAAGAGGAACATGATATAGTATAGGGTTTTGTTGTACTCCCCACAACCCCCCAAAAGACCAACCAAAACAAGCAAAAACTTTACCTAGTTTTTACCAGTAATTTCTTTTATATTACTTTGTTTCTCTGCACTCATTTCTTTATCTCACCTGGGTTTCACATCTGCTGGGATTTCCTTCTTAACATTCGAGAATTTTTTGTTTCTTTGCTTCCCTTGAGGCATTTCATTTTCATGTTTTTCAGCCATGGATTGTTTTCCCTTTTGCTTTTCTGTATCCTGTAAAAAATGTACACTTAATTGCTGAGAAGTATTACTAAAAATGACTGATATAGTTCTATTTGAATGTAGAGGCACAAAACCGAAAGTATATATGTCATATATATAAAAATGATAAAGTCCTTTCTTCAAATCTGTCTTAACTACTGTGTTTCTGTCAATTTTTCAGCCTTTGATTTATTATAATTGTGTTTTGGTGAGTATGAGTTATAAAGTGTCATTTTAATTTATACTCATATCCTGATGGGAGTGGGTGGTGGCACTGGCAGCAGCCAACTGGTGGCTTCTTATTTTTTGGACCTAGGGAGCAAAACCTTGCCTTTTTTAACAAGAAAAGTTCAGCTAGGATGACAATATAAACGCTCTAAACACTCTGGTAATGTGCTCAATGCTGATCCTAAGGACGATCCAAGCCAGGAACATAAGTGTCCACATCCATTCACTGAATGTTCACATCGACACTGTGACTGTCAACAGAGCTATGGTGAGTTAATATAAACAACTATGCACCATCAATGGGAGGGGCTTAGTTACCCACTCACTTACTCAACATTTACTGGTCACCTACCTGGTGCCAGGCAAGGTGTTACCAAGAGGGTCCAGGCCCTTCTCCTGAGGGCTGGTCTCGCAGAAGGGAGATACACATGACAGTGAAAGATCAATCAACTTGTGCTCTCACGTGGAAATGCTCACTGGCCATGACCATAACACAAAAGAACTATCTCACCTGGCTCAAGTGTGAAGCATGGACTGAGAATGGGCCAGGACACCCTCCTGCTACTACACCTTTTCAGACTTATTCTGAGTTATTAAAGAAGCATTTCCTGAGCACTTGACTCATCAAGAATTTTGTAGATGGTGAGCTCTTTGAAGATGAGAACCTGGTCTTTTGTCCACTTATTTCCTAAGCTCCCAGCACAAGACTTGGCTCTTAGGTAGTCAGTACGGACTTGTTGAATACATGTGTAGGACAGGGCTGGAACAGACACACAAGTGTGTAATCTAGTGGGGAAGAAATTACACACACCTGGCAAACAGGTCAGTCACAAAGAAATAAGAGCACACGAACCCTCTGGAAGAATGCTGAGGAGGAGCAATAAAAACCGAACAGCAGGGAGAAAGGTAAGAGGCATGGAGGCCACGAGTTCCACGCCATGTCTACAAGGATGCAAAAGACAGGAAGGAGAAGGTGAAGGAAAGTAACAACAGAGAGGTAAAAATCATGCCAGTGGGTGCACACAGAATGCAGGAGATGGGGCAGCCGGAGGGGGTCACTGGGGAACAGTTAGGGAAAAGGCTGGAAAGGCAGAAAAGATGTAAAGAAAGCATGTGCTGAAAATGCCTTCCAAAAGCTTATTCCTGTCACTGAAATTGCTGGGATTCCAGTCTAAGATTTGTAGCCATGTGTTATGAGAGGGGTATGAAGTGCAGGATTCCGATGCTAGGTACCGACTATACTGAAGTACACAAGGCAACATGCCTAATGGGGAGGGTACAAAGGGAAAGGCAGTTGGCAAGAAAAGTAGTTACATATAAATTTTATTTAAAAAATTCATATATGTAGATGACACCACTGGATTTCTTTAAGAAATGATTCCTTAGGCCATTAGGTTAAAACTGAAAAGAAATGTCTGCTCTACAATATTAAAGGTTATATTAGCATCTTTTCAATCTGAAGTATAGTTATCTAAAAATAAAAATGCCACAACAGAATTCCACTTTCCCTTTCCATATTCCCTGCAAATATGGCTTATAACTCAGACTCTCAGACACATCCCAACAGTAGCCCTACCCTCCATGACCTAACTCCCACTAGTATCAGGTGCTTTGCAATATCAGTCCTGATGCTGAGGACTCTGAGGAGTGAGGCAGCTTTCCTGCTGTGCTGATGCGTGCTTCACGGAGTTCCCAGTTCTGGGTGAGTGCTAAAGCCTGGAGTCTTTCCCTGGGTCATGTTCACTTCCAGGACAATCACTACTCTGCCTGGGTAGGGAGTGAGCTGCTACGGAAGCCGGTTGTGCCAGGAGTGGTCTTACAGGAAAAGCTCAATCTAATTAAAATGGTCTATTTCCTTCCTTCTAATTCTCTTCTGATACTTAAAATCTGAAACAAATTTCATGAGCCAGAGTAGTTTCTAGACCAGAGAGACCCTAACTTTTAAGCAGTATTTCCAATTTCTAACTATTTTACTTTGTTAGCATGCTTCCCAGTATTCTTCCTGGGGGAAAACAAAGGCATTCGTCCCCAGAGCTGTGACTGCTTAAGCATGTCTGTGAACAATGAGTGCTAATCCTCAGAACATGTGCTCACATTAAATATAAAATGCTCACCATGCATTAAGAAACCCAAACAATGAGACTGATTGTATGACTGTGTCCTACCTCCTTGAGGAGAGATTCTGTGTCTGGGTTGGAGGTCTCTGTGGTGGTGGAGGAGCTGTCATCGTCAGCCAAGGAGTCTTTCAGCTCCTCTTCCGGGGGTTTTCCCTTTCCCTTCTTCTCCTTTTCCTCTTGCTTCTTTGATGCTTTAACCTTGCGCTGAAGAGGCTTTCCTTTCCCTGGGTATGAAAATCAAAGAATAATAACTGACTTTTAAATAGCTTAGAAAATACAGCCATTAAAACTTTTTTGAAGCTGGACTCCTATTAATAAAACTTTTCTTCTCTATTCCTTAGAGAACTATTATTTAATTATTCCTAATTAAAGTTTTCCAAAGTATGTTTGAATTATTGATTAGAATATTTTAAAAATCGACTTTGAGTTATAATTTTTGTACATACAATAAGGTGTATCTATTTTAAGTGTACAGTTCAATGAGTTTTGGCAAACTCAGTAGTTTTGACAAATCTGTTATGTCTTAGAATACCTTTTTTATACCACAGAGAGTAACACAGCTTGGAAGAGTCACGAAGTAAAACCCAGTGGTCTTTGAAATCCATCTGGAGATGGAAGTCTGATGGTGACATAGGCTGAGCGGTTCATGTGTATTATGTGAGGGGTGTTAAGAGCCCTGGAGGCAAAGCCATGCTGGTTGGGTCCAAATCCTGGCTCTTCCCTAACCAGCTGCATGATCTTGACCTCTCATCTGTAAGCTGTGGGAGGCAAGCCCTTGTGGGGTTGTAAGAACTACATGAAACCCAGAATAGTGCCTGGTATACAAATACCCTGATATTACACATAGATAGAAAGTACGATGCAACTATAGAAAGCCCATTAAACAGATGTAGTGCTCTCAAGGCACATATCAACCCGCAAGAGAGTGCCCACTATTTCCCAGGCCCTGTCCCATGTCCTGGGAATACAGCAGTGGGTACCAACAACATAATCCTACCTTCGTGCAGCTTATGTTCTTGCTGGACTAGACACTGGCAGAGAAATCCCAGTTCCAGCAGCTTGGATTATGCTGCAAACCCACTAGGGCAAGCAGGCTGGGAAAGCCACAGAAGCCCTGAGAGCCACAGGTTAACTCATCCTGTACACATCATTTCTAAATATATCCTTTTACAATGGTGACTTAATACAATGTATTTAAACCCTATTTTACGGCCACTGTTAACAGGTTCCCAAGACACATACTTTATCATCTAGAACAGGGTTGGTTGGCAAACTACGAACGGCCCACTGGCCAAATCTGACCTGTGGCCTGATCTATCTGTAGGGCTTATGAGCAGAGAAAAATTTTTGTATTTTTAAGTGGTTAAAAAAAAAGAATATGTGATGGAGATAGTCTGTGGTACATGAAGCCTCAAATATGTACCATCTGGCCTTTTACAGAAAAAGTTGTCTGAGCATGATCTAGAAAAAGTAGTAAGGCTCTGACTTTTAGGAATGTCATTCTGTCACCCCTTTCACAGTGATTCTGGAGGTAATAGATTTGAAATCGTTAACTGGGATATTAAGTAAAAAACTGAGAAGCCTTTGTCTTTGCAGAAGATTGGCCAGCTGACTTAACTGTATCAGTCCCTGGCCCACCTTGACCAGCCGGAGCTCCTCTCTGCCGTGGCAGAGGGGCGGGACTGCTCAGATTCTGTTAGTTCAACAGCTGATGCTGCGAGTCCTTCAGTCACTCACACAGGACCAAGACCAATCCCCAATACAATTAATGTCCCCTTGCCATTTTATAATTTTATCATGGTTAGGTTCATGGGTAAGAGGCACTACCTGTAGAAATAATCTGTATTTATGCCCTGGCCAGCTGGCTCAGTTGGTTGGCACGTCATCCTGTACAACAAAGGTTGCAGGTTTGATCCCTGGTTGGGGCATGTACAGGGGACAATTAATAGATATTTCTCTCACATCAATGTTTCTCTCTCTCTTTTACTCCCACCACCCACTTTTTGTCTTTCAAAAAAATAATAAAAAAATTTAAAAATCAGTAAACATATCCTTGAGTGAGGATTAAAAAAAGAGAAATAATATATACTTGTAAAATCTGAAACCTCCTCCATACATAGAAAAAGGCTGAAAATGATATATATTTTTTCTTATTGCACTCAAATCTTGAAGCTAGGAATATATAAAGGATGAAAAGAAACACTTAATAAACCACTAGTTCAGCTGAAAACTTAAGTGCAAACTTACTTAATGAAAGAGTAGTTTATACTTTTTACCGCCAAATCCTCATCTTTTTCAATCTTCTGCACTTGAATTTTTGCCCCATCTCCTTAATGATTTTGAAAAGGTGAGTAATGACCCTTTAATTATCAATGCCCATGACCTCTGACCTCTAGCACTTCTCATTCTACAGGCTTCTGTGTTCTACTGGACACTGAGACGTCCCCTCTCCACCATCCGCCCCAACATCATCCCTCTCTTCTGGCACAGTGATTCTTTCGATGTTTTTACTGCTTTTTTGGTGCTGGTGTTCCCTAGACACCTGACCTTGAAACTTCTCTTTTCCCTCTATAATCACCCTGGGGGATCACTTTAATAAAACAAAGTAACAAGTAAAAAAAAAAGTATATATCTCATTTAAATTTAAAAGCAGAGTTCCCAAGAACTCACAGTGACTAAGTTGTAGCAAATCCACTGGGTGTATACTAATCCTTGTCAAGTGTATTAATTCCTTTGAACCACCCAGTGTCATTTACTCTGAAAAAGCTAAACACCCTTTTTCTTATGCAAAGAATAGGTCCACTGGGCCTGGAAGCCACCCTCCCAAGTTCTACTGCAGCTTTCTTCCCAACATGCAAAGGACTGGCTCTCTACCATCATGTCTGAGAAAAATGGATTTACAAATGTTCACTTCATAAGTGACCAACTGCTAGACCCACTTCATCAGTAAGGAAACAGGAAAACAACTCATGGAAGTAGACAACAATCCATCAAATTTTCTCATCAGAGCCCTGGCTAGCATAGCTCAGTGGACTGAGCGCGGGCCTGCGAACCAAAGGATCGTGGTTCAATTCCCAGTCAGGGCACATGCCTGGGTTGCAGGCCATTTCCCAGCAGGGGATACATGAGAGGCAACCATACATTGATATTTCTCTCCCTCTCTCCTTCCCTTCCCCTCTAAAGATAAATAAATAAATAAAATCTTAAAATTTTTTTTTTCTCAGCAGAGAGACACTCTAGGCATAATAATTTTGTACGACATGCAGCACTGAGTTAAGATACTATAATCACAAATACCCTGTTCTTAAGACATGTAGGCAGTTTCCACTTTTCACTATTATAAAGCATAATGTATGTAAGATTACTTCTAGACATTAAATTTCCAGATATGAGCTTACTGGTTCAAATGATGTGTGTATTCTTTTTATGGCTTCTGACATGCTTCAGGAAACTTGCTGCTTTCCATAATTTATGAATATACACATTTCTTTAAAAAATGATTTGAGAGAGAGAGAGAGAAACATTGGTTTGTTGTTCCACTTACAGTTATGTTCACTGGCTGGTTCCTGTATGTGTCCTGACCAGGAAACCTGCAACCCTGGCGTATTGGGATGGTGCTCTAACCAACTGAGTTACCCAGCCAGGGCCGGCCAAGTTTCTTTTTAACACAGCTACCACTGAGAATTATTTTCTATATATGAGTATAACTATAGATCCCAGGCTATTAATGTGTTTAAAAATATATAATTTGCTTGCCTAAATTGAAGAAAGAAGAGTCATTTAACAGGTTAAATTCTAATCACCAACAATTTGGGTGTAAGACCATCTATCACAGCAAATTAAAAGATAAGCCTGCTAAATACATGCCTATCATAATCGGCTAGGAAGGTTTTTGACATGTGGTTAGCCAATGACAACCTCTCTTGGCACTGTCTTCATTCCTGATTCAAATGGGTAAGAAGAGTCCTGGTGTCCCTGTGTACCCTGCCCCACCAAAACATTGGCCATTCTCATCTAGTTACATGGCTAGATGGAAAAGCAAACTGGGGGTCCCTGCTCTCTAAAGCCCCAACTCTCTACTCATGTTCTCCCCTGCCATCCTCAAATTAAGGTTCTGATTAGAAGTTTCAGACCCAGGAGGGAGGCAAGAAGACTCATTTGGACTCTAGCATAAGCTTCACCACCTAAGCTCTATCATGGGCTTCCTTGTCCTGAACGAGAACTGTAACCATGCTTTTCTTTGGGCTTAGCTGCTGGGACGTTTGCAGCCAATTTAATGCTTAAGGGTAACAACTAACTTTATTCTAGGCCTGTTGATATAGCACCAAAATTAAAAAGAAACAAATGAAACAACAAAAACTGCTTCTTGTCTTTATCTACTGTCTTATATGTGCTTTAATAATTTGACTATCTCCAATCATTTTAAAAGTAGGCAAAATGTAAATTATAAGTTAAAAAATATGTTCTATTCATTTATTTTTTCTTGCCACTAAATGGTGTATAAATGATTCTGCAAACACTAAGTTGACCAAACTACTTTGGGCAACTTTGGTTGTCTCTCTCCCACTTTAAATCCCACTTTTAGTTTCCATTCAAAAGAATTATTCCAGGAAAATTCCAACTACTAGCAAATGATTTATTTGAACCTGTGCAGCCCCTGGCAGCTGTGGATCTAAGCTGGGTCTTGTGAAGCCATTTACAACACCTGACAGGAGACTCTGGAGAATCTCTAGGGCAGGGGTCCCCAACTTCCGGGCCATAGACTGGTACTGGCACGGGCCTGTTAGGGATGGGGCTGCACAGCAGGAGGTAAGCTCGACTGTAATGCACCTGAATCATCCCCAAACCATCTCCCCAACCCTGGTCTGGTCTGTGGAAAAATGTTCTTCCACCAAACCGGTCCCTGGTGCCAAAAAGGCTGGAGACCACTGCTCTAGAGAATCACTAATTCCAATGGGAATCTGTGTTCCTTCTCATGTTTTAGCTGCTTAAAAGGCTGAAATGAAGCCAATAAGTAATATGAGCCAATAAATAACATAAGAATAAAATCAACAACATGATTTACTGGGGTCGGTCCTGGACCTGTAAGTTTATTTTCCCCTATTGTTGTAAATAATACCTTCATAAGCATCATAAACTGAAAGATACCAAAAACATATATGAGGAGGCCTCTCTAGGAATTTTCTAGGTTAAGGTAAAAAATATTTTCAAAATTTTATAGAAA